CTGAGCTAATCGAAAACTTGGGTTTGACCTACTCTTAGGTTGCAGCGTTCACAATTTTAAACCTTCCTACTTGTGGTTTTGGCCAGTTTGAGAGTGTCTACTGTTTACTCCCCACAGCCAGAATGGCCTAACTACAGCACATGCATGCAGTGAGTGCCCCTGGAGCCTACAGGCCAGAGGAACTGAGGTATTTGGGCTGCAACGATGGCCAGACAGGCTGGATGGGAGAAAAGTGAGTTGCACAAAACCCTGCACTTATCTGGGCAGGAGCTTCAATTGGCTTCATTTCTGTTTTCTGTTGTTGGCCCGTTCTGTGGCACTTGGTGTACCCACGCAAACTGGCACACACCAGGACTCCAGAATGTTCTCAGTCTAGGGTGTGAGGCTGTGCCAGGGTTTTGGAAGGTTGGGGCTGACTGGATGAGTTCACCTGTGTTTCTCTGAAGCTGTGGAGCAAGTGCAAGCCGTACTTGGAAAATGTGACCCTCCTTGGGTTGTCAAATGGGGGTGTCTTGGGTAAAAGGAGCTTCAGTGAGAACGGCCGGGAGCAGGCTTTTGACGGTGCCTTGAGACCGTGCTTGCAAGTTTGCGTGCCTTGAGCATGATGCTTTTGCAGCTGGCACACACAGCAGGCTCCACAGCTGCCTTCCCTTCGCGGAGCAGCAACTTGGCCTGGTCTTGTACCCATTAATTAGCCGCATTTGGCACACAAGGTCTGGGAAAGGCAGAGGAGCCGTGCTGCCACTGCAGCTAGCCCTCTGCTGCTGCCAGCGGCCCCCTCCTCCTTCGAACCCCCAGCTCTGCTTCCTCTGGGGGGGCCCTTCACATATGTAGGGGAGTAAACCTGAGAGGCTGCTGTGCTTTGGGAAGACTCTGTCAACAGGTGTGTGTCATTCCTCTGTGGTGTGGGATGAGCTTGGTGGCTCTGGTGTGGTCTGGAGCCAGGGGGAAAGTGGGACAGGGACAGTGAAGCCCAGGCAGTGGTGGGGGCTCTGCTTGGCCGGTGACCCCACTGTGGTGGCTCAAAGTCAGCAGCTGCGGGGTGTCTGAGGCACGGGTGTTTGTGGGGAACCTGTGGCATTCTGCCTCCCTACCCCTTCTGTTCCTGTCCAAAATACTAGGCAGGTAAGAGGAAAACACAGTTCTGAAGTGTCTGTGAGTACCACACGAATGACTTCCAGCTCTTTCACTGGTGACTGATCAGTCAGTCCAGTTTGGGACCAGACACAATAATAAAAGGGATTTTAGCATCCTAAGGTGGGAAGCAGCATTTTTTTAACACCTAGTGAAAAGCCATAGAAAGAACTGAATGAAGCAGAGGGAGCCTGGGCCACACTGTGTGGATCCAGACGCCACCATTGCCACCAGTTCCACAAGCTTGGGATGTGATCCTTCACTGAAGGCAAAAGCTTGACTCTCAAGTAGTTAGGATTATGAAAAGTTAGTAATGTGCAGGGTGCTTGGACTTAGGGTTCTGGTTAGGCTCATCTTGTCAACAAACAGGCACGTTTTGAACAGTAGGACACCTGCCTGTATGCCGAAAAGCTTGGCGGTTACACTGGGCCGGGGGAGCAGGTACGTCACACAGGAGCTTGGGGAATCTGGGATGAAAAGGTTCGGGGAAAACGAGGAGCATGTGTCAGCACCTCTGTACAGCTGAGGAAGATCAGGAGGAGCTCCGGTGCCAGAGGCTGGGAGGGGGAACCGAGCCTGAGGAACCGGCGCCTGTGAGGGTAAGTGGCTGTGGGGTCTGGCTGCGCCGTGGCAGGGTAGGCCGGGGCTCCCCACCGCGCCTGTAAAGCTTCTTTGGCTCCAGGCTTCATCACTGAGAAGGCATTTCATCTTGTTTTCAGTTTGTGGTGTGAGATATGGCTTCTGTGGGATGATATTTCTCTGTGAAGAAAAGGAGTATTTCTCTAAATGTTATATTTGTATAGTACGGAAAAATAACGTGGAATTTTTTTCCTTTCTTAGAAAACACTGTTGCGTTGTGGAGGTGGCATGAGTGGCCTCATCTGTCTCTCTCTCTGCTTGCAGCTCTTTTTTATCTTGTTGATAAAAGATAGGCTTGGTAAATCCTTGTGAGAGAGTGACTATGGCCTGCTGCTCTTTCATTCATCCTCAGAGTGTAGCTAAACTTTCCGCGGATATTTAAAACAACGGCATTTAATCTCTAACACAGTTAAACGGCCTATGTGTTCCTACTCCAGAAGTGAGACACATTGGCGGCAGTTCTTATTTATTTCATTTGTTTGCCCCAGCTTGAAAACTGAGTAGTCAAAAGAAAAGTTCTCATTTTAATATTCTGCAGGACTGAATTGCTTCCGTGAAAGCAAAGGCTGTTGTGCAGTTACTGATGCATAACTCTGCTTTTTTCGTATTAGTCTGTCCTTTGGTTATGGGAATCTCATCTGCATAAGACTGTTAGGTTTTTTCTAAATATTGACAAGGGATGTCAGTCTCTGAGCATGGATTGGTTGATTAATCAAAGTCCTTAACCAATGAATGGGTAGAGGTTTGCATAACGATGTGTTTGTTTCTGAAAAACTGTGCCTACTGGAATTGCAAACCTTTCTGCTTTGATTTGATTCTGTAATGCCTCTCCATTAACTGCTTCCATTGCTCACATTTTCAAAGTACTTAGTAACAATCAGATGCTTCCTAATCTCCTATATCTTTCCTTTTTGCCTGTGTCCTGTAGTAGAGGGGAAAGAAAGTAACAAGCAATAAAACTTAAATAGTTTGCACAAAGAAAAGGGGGAAAATGTGGGAAAAAATAAATAAAATTTGTTTTTCCCAAAGCTTAAAGTGTGATCTGAATCTCATATTCCTCTCTTCCTTGCCTACCTTCCCTCCGGGACTCTTTGCATTATTTTCCTTGCATTGTCAATACTGTACCAGTTCTGACCCCTCACTAATATCTTTTGGTTATTGGAGAGGAACTAGCTTTCGGATCTCTATGAATGTAAATTGAAGTGAGAGAAAGGAAGATGGCTGCAGGGAAAGATGAGTGGAAAGGGAAAGAATGTATTTCTAGATTTGGGGGTTGTAACTTCAGTTCAATTTGCAGTAGGTTTGCTATTTGTGTATGTGGTTTTCCTCTTGTCTGCTCCTTACTATTAGGTGTGGTAATAACTGGGTATATTTTTATGGACAGCAGCTTGAAAATGTGCCTACTTTGTTCTTTTATTTCTGTTTTGTAAAATAGTAGGGAATTCAGTCTGCATGGTAATGTGCTGTTTCATGGGGTAATGGGTCTGGAAATGCAAAGCTAGAATGCAGCGGGCATTAAGCAGTGTGTCCAAAGGCAAGTGTTCACAGCTCTTAGGTCAGAATCCAAATTATGCAGTAAAACAGTATTACACACCTCCTGATTTTCGGACCCTTTGGGGTATCCATTTGAAGCTTTACTTGTCCGAAAGAGCTAAAATTTGCCTTCAGCCTAGGGTAAGGGAAACCAACAACTTTCTTTGTGACTTCTGATTCTGTTATTTAGCAAAGCTAGACTTTGTTTAGTCATTCTTGTCCCTGCAAAGATGGGGTGTGTGACTCACAGCTTGAAACAATTTCTGCTTCCATTTTCGAGGCCTTAAATGTACAAGGCAGTGATGAAGCAGACATCTTGGTTCTGTCCTGTCTCCATACATCTTCTAGAAATAGGACGTGTGATTCTTTGTGTTTAACAAGACACATCTGCACTGATTTTAATGGAATGTAATTTGAAACTAGTTTAGTTAAACCAGGGCAGATGGCTGCAGGACTGTGTGTAATTTCTTCAGTGTAAGGTTGTGGTGCTGCTGCAAAATTATTATTTTGGTTTTAGGACACCTCATAGCAAAAAAAGATAATACTGTTGTCATATAAACCTCAGTATTGAACAAGTAAAAATTAATTCTGCCTATTAAAATGTGTAATGAAAAAGAATCCAAAAATCTGTCTCAAAAGACTTTGTCAGGTAAGGTTTTGTCTGGCTTACTGCACAGCATAAAGACTGTATCTTATTTTTTTGGTTATTAAGCATTAGATAAAATTCTGTAGTCATGCCTGATCAGAATCAGGCTTGTACTGACGGGTGATCAGATACTATGTAAAGCTTGTATCAATGAAAATGGAACCAGAGCCATGAAAATTTGCAAAAGCTTAAGTAAATTGATTTAGCGTAATCAGAACCTAGTTGTCTGTAGACAAGGTTTTTATTTACTGCTTTAATACACTTATTTTACATACGGCACCTATGCTTCTCTCATGTTTCTTTGCAGTAGTTCAGGAAGCAAGAATGAAAGTTGGAATGGTTGCCAAAGTTGGAAGTTTAGCCTAAAAATCCGAAATAGAACAAGAAAGCTGACTTCAAATTTGTTTTCTCAATTGTTCATACTACAGGCCTTATTGTATAAGATATTTTAATTCAGTCTGAGAATAAACATGTGACCTATCTCACTGGGACCTTAGATTGAACTGCAGAATTCCCTCCCACCCGGTTAGCTCTTGTTGCACATTATCAACCAAGACATTTCTGAGGTGGAAAAAAAGGGAAAAGATACCATGGAAAGTGTTACATGTTTTCAACCAACCTTGGTCATGATGAACAGGTTGAATGGGAAGTCTGCAGGCTGGAAGGCACATCTGCTTGAAACATGTGTTGAGTTTTATTTTCTTTATGTTAACAGTGAGCACATTTGTGGAAATCATGTTTTCTTCACAATCTGTTTGCTAAATTAGGACACAAACCCAAGAACGCTTGTGCATGAGAGTAATTTTCTAAAAATGAGTAGTGTCACTGAGTTCTGTAAGAGCAGTTGCACACAGAATTAAGCACATGCATGCAAGTTTGCAGAAATCTGTCAACTACATTGTCGTTGTGATTAGATTGCCCAGCTTTGCCTCTAATACAGCTGTAAATTCTTGCCTTGGTCCTATTTTGAGTAGCCCTCTTTGTATGAGCCATAAGCTATTCTATTGTGCTAAGCCTAACTGAGGATATTTCTCTTATTTTGTCATAGCAACAAGAGCAAGATCCCACAAATCTATACATCTCAAATTTACCCGTTTCCATGGATGAGCAGGAACTGGAGAATATGCTGAAACCCTTTGGACATGTCATATCCACCAGAATATTAAGAGATGCTAATGGAGTCAGCAGAGGAGTTGGCTTTGCCAGGTGAAACCTTTACTCTTTTTTTTTTATTAATGCACATTTTTTTGGCTTTGATCCTTTGGAAATGCTGTCTATTCCAAAACTCTGAACCCTTATATCTGTGGAAAATGCAGAACAATACCTTTATCAGATTGCGTGTCTCTTCTTTCCAACAAGCTGAAGAATACCAATGCAGAAGGATGTTCATTTCATTGCTCTAAAAAATAGTTCATTGTATGTATGTATATGTAAACGAAAATCACTAGGAATAGTGAGGTATCCATGCAGTATAAAGCTTGCATAATAATAAATGTCCTACAGCCAAAAGCACACACCTAGTGAAAAAACTGTTTAAATGCTTAGCAAAGATTTTTTAAAAGGAAAAAGTAAATTTAGCAGTTGGAAGAGAAAAGGGAGAAACTGTAACTGAAGAAACGTGGCTTCCTTGAAAGCTGCAGGGAACTCAAGCCTGTGACAAGAGCTTAAGAAGAAAGATTTGCATATAACAAGCCCTGTTGGAGTAGTAAGATATTTTAGACAGAATGGGCAACATATTATTACCATGTAGTTCATTGTCAGTACAGATAGACAAGTTTCCATGTTTACTTTCAGGGAATATTTACATAGATTCTCTTCAGCTTGAAACATTCTTAATCAAATAGTTTTCTTTTGAAAGGCTAAGGAATAGAGAGCTATATATAGAAAGGTACTGAAAAAGCAAATAAGAAGGAAAATTGCGATATATCAGTCTTCTGCTTCAAAAGTAAGGGAAAGAAAAATTTCAAATAATTGTTTCTACAGAATATTCATAACATTGTGCTTTGTAGAGGAGGCAAAAGGGCTTAGTCATCTTGCAGATTTCTTTGAAATATACCATATCTTGGTATATCATGGCACTTCTGTTAGTGTCATAGCACCACGGAGCGAAATCAGGTACAGTATGATAAGGTAGCTTGCAAGATAAGTGTTACCTTTGTCCTTGATGTGAAAGATCATCATGCGCAAAGAATGTTATGATAATACTGTCTGAATTCAAACAGAAAAAAAGCAAAACGTTTATGCTGAAGGATGAGACACTTCCTTATGCGTTCTTGCAGATAACAACATGAATTTTTCTAGCTCACTAAATATAGATGAGTGTAACTCACAGATAAATGCACATTTCTAAAAAATTACTTTGTTTGTGGAAATATATTTAATTATGTAACGCATTTCCAGAAATCTTTAGTGATGTAATTTGAAGGTTGTGTAATTCACTATGCAAATGACAGAGGGGTAAAACCTTTGCTCCACCAAAGTAGTGCACATCTCCCGTTGACTTGAATGAGGCCGGAGTTAATCCAGAGGTTTAGAACCATAGTTGAAAGCTGACTCTTGTCTTTGCGGAATTATCAACACAAGCTTTAATTGTAAGACCACCTGACCTTCTTTTTTATAAAAAAGTGCTATTTGGTATCTTTTTCCTGCATGTCAGTCCAAATAGATGAATTTGTTTAGCTTTCTTGGTGGTCTTGAAGGTTTCGTTCTAGAGTACCTACAGTGTGAGCACACACTGAGTGGGTATAAATATGGTTAGCTAGGGGATGGCAGCTGTAATTCAGTCCGGATAAGATTTCAGAAGTTTACATTCACAACCTGTGTGGTGATCCTGGCTATTATACCTTCTGACCTGGGGCCTTTTATCACAGTATATTTTGCCTGCCTGTGGAAATGCCCCATGCTGTTTAGCTAGCTCTTAGCTGAGCCACAGGAGGAAAAGTTAACTTTGTATACATCAAAAATGATGCAGCATGCAGCAATTTTGAAACTTGGTGTTTCCAAGTTATTCATTAAGCACTGTGATGATTAAAAATCACTTTTTGATTCTGCTCAATTATGTGAATTGTCAATCTCAAAATAAGTATATTCAAAAAGCAATCGGAACTAAAGACTTATGGTAGACAGCTATTGTCAGATTTTTCTCCTAAATGGGTATGATTAGCAGTTTCATAGTACTGCAGGTGGCTACTTCACCATTTACAATCCAGGTAACTTGAAATGTTCTTGGATCAAAATTATCCAAGTCATGTCTGGCCACATTAGAGTTCAGCCTCTTTTAAAGTATGAGCGTACAAAGCTAGCTCTCTTTTTAAGCTGGGAAAGTATTTCCTCTCTTTTGCATCCCTCAAAAGCAACAGAACAGATTTTCCCAAACATTCCAGAGTGTTTCACTGCGGCTTGAAAGCAACCATGGCTAGATATGTCCCAGGGGAGATTTTGGGAAGAGTTATGAACAAGGGGCCAGAGAAGAGAAGCTTTAGACTCCAACTGTGGCTCCACAGAGGTCCATCCAGTTGAATGGGAATTTGCCCTAACCTCTGGACACCCACCTCTGTCTCACCCCTTGCCTGTGCTTTGTACTTCAAAGCTGTGCTACCTGGCTCCAGGCTCTCCGTCTGCAGGGCTCACATGGCTGTTGTCATTTGGCAGCATGGGTTTCTGCTGACACCAGCAAGCAGAAGATGGGATTAAACACAGCTATTGTAGAGCAGATGAGAAAATCGGAGGAGAAGAAGGGGGAAGAAATACTTACCATAAGTAGAGAATTGGAAAAAAGAAGTGGTACAGATGAGTAACTCGGAGTTCAGTCTGTTTTAAGATTGCATGTTGAAAGAGGGAATGATGCAGTCTTGACTTTGCATAGGATTTCACCACAAGACTTAAAACTGTAGGCATTTCTCTTAAATCCCTGTTGCTGGGAGTGATCTAATGACTTCAGCATCTGATCTTTCATTTAAAAAGTGTAAGTGGATTCCTCAGAGCTTAGAACAAAAGCATAGTCCTTCAATTTAAAAAAAAAAAAGCGAAGGAAAGGCACAGAAACTGGATTTGAAGACTTTTCTCAAGATATAATTTTAAAGCTGATCTCTTATGATTTGAATTTTGTTGGTGTGAATAAAAAACAGATCAGAGGTAGTGAGTAAGTGAGAAGGTCTTTGAGGGAGGCTGGAATTACTGGATAGCATAAGGTACTGAGAGCATGGAGGGAAGTATTTCACTTCATCCTGAAGATGCGTTTATTGTACCTTATAAAGAGGTAACAGTATGCGCTGGAAGACCTGGCTTTTCACAGGCCCATAAAGGGTGAGTTCCCTATATTAAGGTGGGAGAAGATAATGCAGTAACGCAGTCAGAGTGGAGCCGAAGCAGCAGTGCTGTTTTGGCAAATGAATGGGGCAATATTTAGAGCGAGATTTCTGAGGATCAATGATGCTGCTGCTTTGGAGGCGGAGAAGTGTCAGCAGCACCAGGGAATAGAGAACATCCAGGCAGTTTAAGGATGCATTTGTGAAGAGAGGAAATGCTTTGTTCTTCCTTATTCAAGGATTTAATTGAAGGCAGTTGTAAAGGTGCTATAAATTTAGCTTGAAAAAATCCATCATCTGGGATGATAATGCAGGCTTAGATATTATGAGGATCATTCCTACTTTCAGTCAGAAGACTGATCTGTCACATCCTACATCTTAACACAGAAAATCACTTTATAATTGGATATCTTAGGTGAAACTGGAAATCCCAAACATGCCCCAAAGACTTTGTATGATATCCACAAACTATTCCAGAGTCTTTGGTGATACATTTCCATTGAAAAGCCTCCTTGGAATGGGATCACAGCATCACTGCAGGATGCTCACGAGGTCTGGTGGAGAATGTATCTCCAAGACCTTCACATTCCCATCTGTCATTGCAACCTGTACCAAATTTTGGTAGACTCATTACCTCTGTAAGAAAATTGCCAGGTATGGAGTTGCACTTTTAGCAAGCAGCAAACTCCAGAGAGGGACAGGTAGGGTAGGATCCTAGGACAAATATCAGTGGAACATGAAAATGGATATGAAGCCCTTAAAGGTGAAGAGGGAGGAACAAGGAAAGTTAGGAGCCATGAGCTAATTCGGCTGAGCAACTTTCATAGTCCAAGCCCAAAGTACAGTGATTTTAATTGAAGAACTCCTTGGAACATGGAAAAAGGGGCAAGGAGGCATTGGGATATACCTTAGGGGAGGGGCTTACTAATACCACTGAATCAATTAAATAAAAATTGCATTTTATAATCCCACAGTAAAATATCATTCAAGTATTATTTAAGAATCCTCCCTATAGAGATAGTAATATTAATAATACCGTGCATATGTGTACTAAGCTCAGCTAAACAGCAGAACAAGCATTTTATAGGTCCTTTTAAATGATAAGGTGCAAAGAAAGAGTTAGAAACCACTAACTTTTTTTATTTTGTTTGCTGTCTTGTAACTTAAAACGACCTTGCAAGACTCACCCCCCGAGCGACATTTTACAACGAAGTCATAAGCCTCTGAAAACAGAAATTTATGATGGAAATGCTGACAGTCAGACAGTCAAGTATTGCACTGCTGGCGGGCACCAGTATAATACTCAACCTGAGACTGTGAAGACAGTAGCATAAATCAGCCAGGGTCTAGGTGGAAATGGCTGTGTGTTCATGCTATTCTTTTCCAGTAACATGAGAAAATTTGTCCAACACAAACTGTCATAAAATAACGTTATGATGCTGTTCCCAGTAAAGGACCGAAGTCAAAAGATTCTCAATTAGCTGTCTCAGTCATCTCAGAGCAAAAGGATATAGCGAGGAGATACTTTCATCCCTTTGTGACAGAGCTGGCGTGTCTGTAGTGGAGCATTTACCTTTTTTGTTGTTAGGAGTTTGGGCTTCATCCTTGTCTTTTCCCTACCTTGTTCTTCTGGAAGAGCTTTCAATGGGATGCTTTCCTGTTGCCTACATATGTTTTCTATTAAACTTATCTCCTGCTTGTCTGTGTTTTATATGTCTTAAATTTAGTTTTAGAAATCATATTCAAGTCAACAACTGAAAGGGAGCGACAGAAAATGGGAAACAAGAATATGAGCCTCCACAGGATGATCATCCTATTTATAGAAATTTTGCATAGATTTCAGTAGGTGTGGATGTGCTCCATTTTCCACTGAATCAAATCAGGAGAGCCAAGCACTTATTTTCTATGTTTTTTTTTTCTTCAAAGGGAGCTGTTCATCTTTCAGGGTTTTTCAGGATAACCTAGGTGTCATTTAGTTATATTGGATTTCTTCTGAAGCAAAGAGGTTTCTCCATGGAGAGAACTGTAGCTCTGTGCAGAGATACTCACTCAGGTAGCTCAAAACAGTCACCTTGGCATGATGGGTCATGCTGCAAGCTATATTATGGACCATATCCACAGGGAAGAGGACTCTATCCTGTCCTCACTGGAGCAGTTTCTGCAGACTTTGTATATTCATCTAAGATAGTAAACAACCTCCTGTTGTTCGTGCAAACAGGACTGAACGTGAAGAATGTACAGGCAAGACATGTTTTATGAGCAATGAGGAGAACTTGTCAAAATTAATCTCTCTTCCTAGGCTGTATATGACAAAGGGAATAGTTTTTCCAGCATAAAATGGATGCAAACCAAAAACCACAAACATCTTGGAGCAGTCTCTTACCAGCTGAACAGTTGGGGACATAAGACACCTAAGACACTTACAGTAGAGAAGAAAATCCCAAGTTACAGCCATAGCAGTGTCTTAGAATGACTGGAATTTAATTTAAATTAGTGAAATAAATTAAAGGAATTAGCAAACGTTGCCATAGAAGGATGAAGAGCAGAACATAACAAGGTGCTAAGAAACCTCAGACTAATCAAACCGATCTTGCAGCTTTAGAGTATTTAAGACCTGACGATCATTTCCCCTGACCTCTTTTATATCACAGTCAGGTGAAGTACTCCCAGTTACCTAATATTGAGATAATACTTGTCTTGTACTAAAATACAACTTTCAGAAGTGATCAACGAGAAAAAGAAAGCCACCTCTTTTCTATCTGATGTGTGTCAGTGGATCATCTTCCTTGCAGTTATACCTTTCTCCTTAATTTCTCTTTCAAATGTATCTGGTGCTTGTCACTACTCCACTGTATATTCTAGTTATGGCCTCAGTTCTTTGGACTCCTCTGCTGTATAACACTGCTACTACCTACCTACTTCCATCTTTGGAAAATGTCTTAAATAGTAAAGAAACATTGCTCCCCAAGATTTATTGGCCCTGCTCTTACAAATATAAGAAAACAACAATAGTCATATGCTGATCATAACGTAAATGTGGTAGTAACAATTTAATCTTTAAATATTTACTCTAGATATAAAAACATAGTTCTGATTCTCATTTACATTATTAAGCAAAGTGACTACAGGGTATACATAAACCAAATCCACATTTTACCATTAACTGGTAATTATATGGTACTAAATATTTCTCATGTAATAATTATGTAATCATCATGCTATCCCTTGTATATAAATTTTATAAAGTTGTTTCTTGACACTGCATCAATCTTCATAATAAGCATGTGCAAGAGCTTTCATTTTTTAAAAAAATTCCTTTTCCCTTTTTTTTTTTTTTTTCCATGGTAAAGATTCCCTATTACTTATAACAACATATAATGACTACTTTGGAGCCACTGTCGTCTGTAGAGAGACTAATATACATTTTTTAAATGACCTAAAATAAATATTTAGTAGCAAGATGTGAACATCGAATTATTTGGTTGTGACACTTACTTAACCACCGCCAATTTTTTCATTCTTTTACTAATCATAATAAAATATCTTAAATTTGCAAACTATGCCAAGAAAAAAAATTAATAAAATCAGTTTTTCCTTTTCAGATTTTTTTAAAATTCACTTCCTTTCCAATTGGATAGAATATAGACAGTCTAGTTACTCATATTGTATTTTGGAACATTACAACTTAGTTTCCAGAACATGGAAATATATAGGAAGATAAAATAAAAATAAATTGAAAGGTGAAAATAAATTCTCACAGTTTTTTTAGTTTCTTTGTTTTAGATCATTATCTGTGCCTTTGAAAATACCGTAAGATTCTGGCATGTGGCTTTGATAAGTTTTTTTCTGCAGTGTATTTCCTGATTCAAAATAATACTCAGATGCATTATAGTTATCTCTAAATTGCATTTAAATATGAATTATCTAAGATCCTATTAGGAGCCCCACCAAAAACGTACTGTTGAAGGAAATTTGAAAATGATACTTTGTGAATGATCTGAGCAAGAGCGTATTTCTATTACCCCATGAAGCTGATGTTCTCCCCTTTCCAGCAGGAGAGTTGAATATCGGTATCTTTCAATAGAAGATTTTGAAACATCTAAGATCTTCATCTTTTCTCCAGAATATTATCAATTACCACATTTTTGTTCTATTGTTTATGAAAAAAAAAAAAAAAGGATTTAAGAGTGCTCTTCCCCCAAGTTTATCTATGCTCTGATGATGTTCTTTTGTAGAAAACCTGTCCCTTGGAGGCTTTTAACATGAAACATTCCTGTTAGTGGTATTTTTTTTTAAATACCAGTCTCAACTAACATTTCTATTTAAGATGAGGATAAATTAATGACGAAAAGCATATTTTGTCCATCCCACCGAGTTTCCAAACACATTCTGCAATAAAAGGTGTACCACAGATTTTTAAAGAAAGGGTATTTATTAGTGTGGACCTAAGAAAAGTATATTTTTACCTGACCTCTTCCCAGATACGGCTAGTCTTTGTGGCCAAAAGAAGTAAGAAGAGAAAGAGGAATATCTGAATTGATATGTGCAGATAGGTTCAGCCTCTGGGTAGGAGCCTGCCATAGACATTGCCACCTAAAAGGTTGATGTTGATCAGAGTTTTAACTAAACTAAACCTGGGGTCTTGTGATGGCAAGTATCAGATGATTTCAGTAATACATCTTCTTGTTCTCTACCACTGATTCTTCCCAGACAGCCAGTGAGCTAATCATCCTGAAGAACACAATTTGAAAGGGTTATTTTTTAAAAAAAACTGGTACTGTGGACAAGTGAAAAAAATACTCAGGTGGCCCTGGGATAGATACATGTCTGATTAGCGAGCGGCTGCCGGGCCAGCCTCGGCACGGCCGGGAGGAGGCTCTGCCCCAGAGAGACAGGGTGCAGAAAGCAGACGGAGACTCAGGTAGGAAAGAGGAGGGATGGATGCAGTTGTTACTCAGCAACACATCTGAAGGGAACGTGTATAGACAGCTTTGTCTGTTGTGCTGCCTTTTCAAACTGAGTCGATAATGCCAGTGTCGGTTTCAAGCGAAGCGTGTGCCAGATTACAGATAGCTAGCAATGGCATTTGAGAGCCGTTAATTGTGAAACTTGAGAAGAAAATGTGCACATTCTTTTCCAGAGTGCTATTCGAATGACGGCCTTTTTATCCCAGAACACTGTGGGTTTCACTTTTATTCTCTTCCCACATAAAATGCATGAAGTGCACTGAGTCTTTTTCACTTGGCAGCTTATATATTGCATTCTTTGCAGGGACTGCTTTGGCTTGTTAAAATGCGCCCCATGTATTAAAATGAAATTGTCACTGCTGTGTGGTGCAACATAACATGGTTTGACACTAAGCGCCTGCAGCTACAGAAAACAGACTTTTATTGCATTTATTCTTTCAGAGACAAGAGTCTCTAAAGGCTCGGTGCAGACATTCGCTTAGTTAAATCTGAATGAAGCCAAAGTGAACAATCTATGTTGCTGTCTTTGTGCTTGTAGAAATGGCCGAGCCCACATGGTATGCACTGATACAACCTGGAAGGGACAATTTTTAATGTTTCCGCCTGAAACAAACTGACAAAAGACTTTGGCTTGCTCAGAGAATCAATTAGGCAATCAGGAGTTTTGTTAGGAGTTTGTTTTTGGGGGATTTTTTAGGTTATTTTTTATGGCGGTGGGGTCATTCTTTGAAATCTGGCAAATTTACACCGTAGGAGACAAACTACTGCTCTAAACTCTGTGAGCTACGTGGAATGCATGTTACTCTTTTCCAAAACCATGTGACAGGAAGGGTGTTGGTTAAATTAATTTAAAAGATCTCGCCTGGTGAGAAGTAAGCAATGTTTATGTCAGTGGATTTATTTTACGGAGAGTACTTGGGGGTATGTACTAGTGTATTGAAGGAGCACTGAATTTGGGTGTTAAACACAATTTTTCTGAGAAAAACAAAAGCATTATGATTTTTTTTCTCTATTACTAGCTTTCAATTTCTCTCTTTCCTCTCTTCACGTGTTGCTATACCCACTTTGTAGCAAGTCAGCTGTTCTCTGTGGTTACAAGACCTGAAAAAATGATGAATTCCCTGATGTGGTATAACCATGGTTTTGGATTTGACTAGTAGCGTTGTATTCTTTACAGTTTCTTCAATAATATATGTAGTAGTTCACTGTAATGCTCTAATATCTCAATGCTGAAAGTTATCTTGAGGTCATAGGAGATGAACAGTAAGGCATTTCACCTGCTAGTATTACATGTAAATTACTCTCCACTCAAAATTTGGCTTTATGTTGTAATGAGCGTGTATGCATTGTCTTTGATTTTGCTATACAGTCTGTCTTTGCAGTATTTTTTTGACAGTCTAATCTTTAATAATTATTGCTCAATCCTCTGAGTTTTTTCTCCAAATCCTGTATATTCTTTTTTCATGCCATTTGAAGTTATTTTGGGTGCTCAAGGAATCTAGAAACATGTCCTTTGCCTTTCCAAGCAGCACATGAGAGCATAAAGAGTGTCCTTGTTCAGGGTGATCCCCTGGAGCCAAAAGGGGACTGTTCATTGACACTGCGGCGGCTCACACGCAGCCGGGAGCACAGCTGCACGCTTTGAGGGTGGCAGGTCCTTCTCGCAAGCCACACCGTACCATAATGAGCTCAACCAGTTTCTCTGCAGAAATCAGCAAGAACAGCTTTGAAGATTTCTTTCCGCATCTGTGCTTGTCCTTTTTTTCTCCTTTTGCTTTTTGTTTTTGCTGACTGAGCGCTTTCATAACAGTCTGGTAACACGTATTGCCTCTGCCCCCTTCCTACTCTCTTTTCCAGAATGGAGTCTACAGAAAAATGTGAAGTAGTAATTCAACATTTTAATGGCAAATATCTGAAAACCCCACCTGGTCTACCAGGTAAGTCTAGTCACCATTATGAAATTTAAAATTCACTGAAGAGTTTAGAATGCAGAAATGCAGGAATTTATGTTGATTAATTATTAATTATAATACTGGCCCTACTAAGAGGGCATACAACTGCTCTGATTGAAGACTGTCCTTTATGACCCATAGTGACTTCTTCCTTGCCCAAGCTTGTGTTATTCAAGCATTTATGCTTGACAGCAGTAAGTTTAAGTACAGATAAAAATCATGTTGTATTACTGTGTTTTTTGCTTTTAAACATATATATTGTGTGTGACTTTTTTCCAATTAGAGCAAAGGCCACATAAGTAAGTGCCAGTGCTTTTCTAACAAACTAGGAATATGACTAGGTCTGCAACTACTCTATAGTTTGTAAAATAGCCTGGATTTTGGGTTGTAGTAAATTTTGGGTTGTAGTAAATTTGTATTCCTTACAGTTACTAGCTAGTGTTACTACTTACTGTTACTAATACTAAAAGCAACAGCTCTTAATACTAACCGAGGATATGTCAGATATTAAGAGATTCTATAGCATTTGTACTTGCCATAACTTAATGAAATCCTGCCATTTTCTGACAATACCCATAGAATACATTGATTGGTATGACCATGCCACATTGAAAGCTGAGTACCAGCCAGTATTTTGCTTATGAAATCTTCATCTGTCATCTATGTGGCCATCAGCTGTGCAAAGTTTAGTGATCAGTTGCCTGATTCTTAGTGCTTGACAGTACCTCCTCAAGGCCACAAATCTGCAAAGATGTTTCCCTCACATTGTCTGAAGAGCTATGTTCAGTGAGCAGGAAGTTCTTATGCTATCTCTTTTTTTAAAAAAAAAAGCAACAACTTCCATTAAACTATTGCCTTTTTTGGGTACTTTTGTTGAATTACTTCGTATTTGTTCCCTGGTTCTTTATGCAGAAGATGTACTAAATACTCTAATTAAATGAGAGCAATCTGCACGGCTATTGTGTACAGTAATTGAATGCTGCAATGTACATGTAAATTCTAGCCAGATCACCTTCATGAAAGAGTATAAAACTTTTAGTACAAGCTGCAAGGCTCCATTTTATGGATTTATGTTTCAAAAGTAGTCACTGACAATTTTTCTCAACACCATCTAATGAAGTAAACCACCAACTTTGTGAAGTACAGCAGACTCTGGCTGCATAGAACAGTGGGCAAAGCAACATAGGCAGAGACCTTAAACCTTTGGCATGCCTTACTGTATGCATGCATTGAGTCCCAGTGGTAATCTGTTTAATATGATAGCAACACCCAATGGAAAGAGTGTGCATAGCAAGGAATCAGTAAGTGCAGCTTCATCATTAAAACTCCGTGATCACATTCCTGGTTGTCTCAGAGAGAACACACACAGAGATAAAGCAGAATATTCTTGCCGTGCCTGCAAGAGGCAAAAAGGCTACACGGTAAAGAATGAAAACTAGCAGTTGAAAATAATTTTCTTTTTTTTTAAAGAAAAATTTAAATTGGTCAGGAATATACTGGGTATTCAACGTGAACGATGTGGGGCATCAGTATGGGAATCTTGGTAAGATAGTGTGATTACTTACTTTTGTTCCAAGAGATACACTGAAATTGGATTTTAGTGGTTATAACTTTGGCTGTTTTCTCAGTTAAAGGGCATGAATCAGCTCTTAGTTTCCTGAAGAAGGTCTCCATGTGGGAAAATTGTCTGTTATGTTTCTCTCGTGATTGTTGTGATCAGATGGCATTTAGTTGCAAGGATGATCTGGGAAGTGACTATTTTAAGAGTTTTCATTTACCTGAGTACCGTTCAGATGCAGATGGAGCATAATGCAGCTTGGGGCAAAGCCACTGAACTCACTCAACTATGCACTAGATACCTGTAAGATCCTGTTTTGTTCTCCATTTTTTAAGTAACAGATTTTGTAGCTCCAAACACAGATAATTAGATGTTACTGTATTGTATTTAATCCATGTAAAAGAGAATTTTTGTACCTTGTTATTGGAGTAAGGCACTCTTTAAATCCATATTTAAAAGATTTTTTTTATTATTCATTCCTCCTCTTTTTAAGAAGCCAGAGGACAAACACAATCACTGGAGCAGTCAAGTCCATTCCAGTGACATTGGCCACTCATATTCATTTACTTTTGGTCCATTAAAAAAAAAAAACCTAGGTCTGCATGTTTCTTCTTCTTGATGTAGTTTCCTGTTAGAGCTTCTACTCACTTTGTACATCTGTACTATGAACCTGTGTTTAAGCCTCTCAGCAAAGATAGAAGCATCTTGCTTTATCCCCCTCCTGGCAGTTGCTTATCTTGCTGCATGGAGAAGGAAGGAAAATCAAGTCTCCTAGTGTACTTGGAAAATCACAATCAGAGTCTGAAAATTATCCTCCCAGCATCTCAGTAATTGGCATAGAAAGGAAATAATCTCTAGTTATTGCTGTGACCTCTTTATGGATTTCAGTTTAAAAATGAGGAACTGGAGAACATTAGCGGAAGTATGCAACACTATGTGTTATTAACCTCTACTGCTCAAGGCATGATCTTACTGCAAGAGAGAATTAATCAATCCTTTTAGGGTTAAATTAAATTGATTTAGGATTTTCAGCTGGATTTCTTTCAGGCATAGCAGTGAACTGGGAGGGTTTTACATTTTTGTCCAAATCTCTTCTCACCCAAGCTCTGATGTTCTAGTTCACGCTTGCCAGCTAGTAACAGGTTGTGTGAGGCCCATCAAGAAAGAAATCAGCCTGGCTGCGGGCCATTTTGTACTACTCTGGCTCCTGAGGCAGTGGAATTATGGACCAGACAGACCGCTTTGGCAGCTACCTTCCGTCCGTGCCGTCTCCCCTAGCTGTGTTCCCCGAGATGTGATCTTGGTGACACAGCAGGATATATGTGTGTGGAAATACCATGTCTGTAGGATGCAATGTTCACACGTTATGGGGGAGGTTATGCATGGTTAACAAGACATGATGCAAGAAGGACTGGAGTAGGCAGCTTTCACATGGTGCTGAGCAGCCCATCAAAAAGACTGGGCACCACAGCTCTGGCTTTCATAATGAACATCACATGGACTGAGACTTCGTTATATCCTCCCAAAGAGTTATCTCAAACATTCAGTTTGAATACAGAGCTCTTTCCCGACTAGTTTTTCCTTGGCAAATGAGATTTAAATGTAATTTGATGTATTTTTTTGTTGGGAATAAGATAGGAATTACAGGAGAGTCACTATTGTGTACCTGTGTGTTTGGCTGTGGCCAAGAGTCTCACATATAAGCTGGTCCAGGCTGACAATATGTCATGAAAGGGTAAAGCAGTGTTCTATCTGCAAGGAAGGGAGGGCACACAGGGCACTGGAGGCTCTGTATTCTGTATGTTCCAGAGGGAACACTAAATCATTCCTTGTTAGACTTTCTAACTTCAGCTACTGTCTGTTGTCTCCTTAAATACTGTAGAACTGAGCAGTTGCAGCTCCAGACCACTCTGCTTCAACTCAATGACAATGTAGAGGTTATTTTCTGGCACATGAAATGTTTTGCTGGTCAGATGTGTAACGCCTAGGTAAATTGAGCAGTATTACATCTATATTAGTGAATTATTCTTGCTAAGGGTGCTTCTCTGTCCAACTCCTTGGCTTTGTTCCATTCCAATGGGAATTGTTCCACTGACTTTCTCAACGGGTAAGCATTTCATGATGTTCAGCCTTAGATATACAGTGCAAGATAATTGGTTGTCCCATACATAATTAGTTAATATCTTTGCATTTCTTCCAGACTGAGAAAGTACAGTTGTCTCCAGAAATCTGAAAACTCTTAGTGCTTGTCAGATTCCATGTGAACTTCATGAATATTCAGAGTATTTTTTTCTGTTTGTTTTTGTTTTCCCCCTGTCAGCACTGCTTTTCTGAGATAAATAGACCAGGGTCTACTGGGTATATTTTCTTCCTATAGAGAGTGCAGCCCTGCATGAAACTAATTGTATGGGCCCTGTGTTGCCACTCTGAAAGAGAAGTCAGCAAATGAACACATGAGACTGTAGTACCTCTCCATCAGGATGTGAAGAGCACTGTTAGTGATGAAGGTAGCTCACACACAGTCTTTCGGTGCCGTATCTCTCTTTTTTGGCAAATGGAGGACTTCATATGAAGTCTTGTGGATCCATCACATGTTGCAATCACATGTTCAAGTAAAAATTCCTAGCTTTTCTGTCAGTAACAAATTGATTTATCTTTGGATGGGCAAGCTTAGGGTACAGTCTTTGCATAGAGTTTTTGTTCAGCTCTCAGTTACTTGAATGTCTTTAAAAAACTTAATTTTCTCTTTTTGAAGAAATGCAAAGACTTAACAAGTTCTTACTTTTCTCTCTGGAATTTCACAGGAACATGCCTCAATTATGGTAATTATCCTCTGCTGATCTGTCCATTATGCTCCCTCACAGCATTTTCTAGTCATTATAGTACTTCCTAAATTTTGTTTGCTTTGTAAATACTTTTGGCTGTCAGAGGACATTGAGCCAATTCCTATCTCAGGGAAAATTTCAAGGAGGTGAGACACATGAATGCTACACCGCACAGTCAAGAATCTTCATCTTTCATGTTAGCTCTGTGTGGCTTTTATTGCTAATTTTATTGCCAAGTTACAAATATCTGACAAAAAGAAGAGGGAAGTACTATTCTTGTGTAAATTTATAATCCCACAAGTAGCAAGTGATGATGGCATTTTGGGACTGACTCTTACTAGAGCAGAAACTCTTAAATATAAAAAAATTATCTGCAACAATACAGATGTATTTCCAAATACCTCATATCTTGCGTTAATCATTATTTCCCATGCATTTTTTCTCTTGAAAATGGCCCAAGCACTGCATTCTACGGACTCATTTAAACAGAATGAATAACTATTTTCTGCCTCTCTCCTTAGTTTAAATATTTCTCTTAGGTAATTTCTTAGATTCTACAGCCACGGAGAGTAAATTCAAATATTTAATCTTCTACTTCAGAG